GCACATCAAAAATCGGCAGTGACTGACAGCTGCCGTTACAATCTTCGACGAAGCTTCGTTGAGTACCAGCCCGGGCACCTTGTGTGAGTATGCATGCCGATACGCCGACGTAGGCTGAGTGAAAAACTTCTTCGACGGTACTTCGTATCGTACAGAGTAGTTTGATGTCTCGGCCCACTTCACTAAGAGGTTGTTCCCGACGGCATTACAAACTCTCAACGGGGCCGTGCTCGACCTGAAGTCGTCCATGTCGTGCGCCTCAAGACATTTTATGCGTGAACCCGAGGACTGCATTTTGTCGTTGTGGCCATACTTATTGCTTGTTGTCTTCATATTGTGCTTTCGTGCTTTGTTAAAGCATCGGGGCGATGCCTTTTTCAGAGGGAGGTAATGCCACGTTCCTTTTCTCGAGTTATCACCCCGTTACACCATACGTATACGTTCAGCACAAACCGCGCCTAAGATGTTCGAGAAGCTTCGGGGATTTAATAGATCGTTTCGTTAAGATTACGCCCATTCGGGAACGTCACAGATTATTCGGGTACCTACGTCGCCACTAGCGATAACGCTAGAATATTTGATAGCAAGGGTATAAATGCCGACACGCTTCGCCGCTTTCAGTTGATCGAGGGCCGACGCTCCGTTCGCCGCTATCAGTGCAAGACTGCTACTGTAATCAGACTTTCCGTTTACTGGGCACAAGTGCGCCCAAATATACAGTTTATTATTCGACCCGCAGTGTGCTCCATTCGTCCACGTAACGATCTCGCGACAATATATGTTCACGTATTTTCACCATGTCATCGTGTCTGCCAATAGGTGAACAAATACTATCTCTCAAAATTCTGATACGGTGAAAGGTGCGCAGTTTCGCCCCACCACGGTGGTTTAGTGGCTAAAGTACTTGGCTGCTGACCCGCTGGTCACGGGATCAAATTCCGAGTATGGCGGCTACATTTCCGATGGAGGTGGATTTCCGATGGAGGCCTACATTTCCGATGGAGGTTGTAGGCCCGTGTTCTTATATTTAAGTGCGCAATAAAGAACCACAGGTTGTTGAAATTTTCGGAGCTCTCCACTACAGCGTCTCTCATAATCATAGGGTGGTTTTGGGACGTTAATCCCAACATGATAATGAAGGTGCATAGTTAATTTTTTCGTATTGCCTTTCATCTTACGCAAGCATGCCTTCACGAAGGCCGGTGGAGAAAAGAAAGGCAGTACTATAGATTTCTTTTTTCGCCCCGCCGCGGTGGTCTAGTGGCTAAGGTACTCGGCTGCTGATCCGCAGGGCGCGGGTTCGAATCCCGGCTGCGGCGGCTGCATTTCCGATGGAGGCGGAAATGTTGTAGGCCCGTGTGCTCAGATTTGGGTGCACGTTAAAGAACCCCAGGTGGTCGAAATTTCCGGAGCCCTCCACTACGGCGTCTCTCATAATCATATAGCGGTTTTGGGACGTTAAACCCCATATATCAATCAAATCAAATCAGATTTCTTTTTTCAATACTGCCAGCAACCCTTTGGTCGCCAAGGCAGGAGTGACAGATAGATCTATCTATCGATGGCCTTCCACAAGGCTAGATAAACCATCTTGCGGCCTTGTATAGCAATAAACGAATTTCGGAGAGCACGTATATATCAGCAACCATTTAGCGCTCCGTTTCACGAGAGCGACAAAATATTGCGTGCTAAAAAGACGTGTCAAGTTCTGTAGCTAGGAGATACTCCCATTTACCGCGGTAGGGCCTGGTTTGTGCCGTGGCTGCTGTGACGCCATCATTACTGGTGGCAGCGATGGGTAATTCTATAATAGACCCAGGCGTTGGCGTGCAGCAAGCGAGCGAGCAGGCCAGCAATACAGAATGACAACGCATTGGCACTTCGATACTCTCGACAGCAGGCAACGAGCCGTCAGATGGTGGGCTCACGCACCCTGCCACGTGGTTGCGTGGCATCCAGTCCTATGATCGCGACTGCGCAAATCCACACACTGACACACGTTGAATAGCTGCATGTGTTTTATATGACCAGTTGTTTACAGCTGCGTAACGATGCCGATAGCGACATCGGTATTTGCAACATCAGAAGCGACATGAGCGATATAAAGCGCTGGCTGGTGCTTGCGAGTATGGTAGCCCTGGACACTGCTACATAAATTAATTTCAGTAGAGGGCGCTTAACTACAGCTGACGTTAACCCGACGTGACAGCTGCATGATGAGATTACATATGTAATGTTTATGAAATTATACTGCCAGCACTGCAGAATTCTTGTTTTATGAACATTAGGGTCGTTTGAAAAGAAGTTCCAAGGCCTGGCTTGGCGCTGTGGTGTAGAATACTTGATGCCACGCAAAACGTGTGGGTTCGATTCCGGCAGGGACCCTTGACATTTATTCTTTCCATTCATCCGGTCTACAATAAATACCCGAAATGCACATACGCGCCCGCAGGTATGTGCCACTCCAGCGTCGGAAAGGTTTTGACGACGTACGCGACGGGATTGTGACATTATTCAGGGAATGGCCAGCTAGTCATCTTCGCCAAGCCATCTTACCCTCCCATAATAATTTTGGCTTACCCCAAGTTGAAGAGGTGAATATGAGAGCACCCAGACGTAGGTGGCTCGGTAAATAAACAGGCAGATAGACACTGAAAGTGTCTATAGTACGCAAAGAAATGCTTCGCATTTAATTAAATTTGTCAAGAGAAAGCATTCAAGCTGCACTGCTGGGCAAACTGGTTCATCGTCTGGAGAAGATTTGAACGCAAAAAAAACAAAACAAACAAGAAAACAGAAGACAACTGAACGAGTGGCTATACTACCAACTGGAATAATTCGAAAAAAAAACTAAGATATATAGCTCAGTACACCACAGGTGCATATGCGCACCAAGAAGGTTTGTGCGCACACGTCACGTGAAACACAGGGCAAACGGCTTATCACAAATGGCGCTTATTCAATGACTAATTCTTCAATTATTCAATGCCCTTTTTTTAGGTAACCTGCGCCCAGGTGCTCGCGTGCCACAGGATAGGTTTTGGTGGCTCTTCATATAAAAAAAGAAGAGTATAAATAGGTGACCAGTAAATTAGACAATCGCAGGGCTTCCGGTTCGATGCACCACACGGGTCAGCAGCGGCACGCGCGCATTTTTGTACTGCTCCGTTGAGAAAAGCACCTCGCCGTGCAATGTTAGTGCTTCAGAAGTTTTTTTTTTGCCAACCGTGACTGTGACGATGACAAGCTACGAAAACCATGAACGCTCCGGAAACTTTTTTGTCGCACTAAAATGATGTGCAATGCTTTTATGCTGCTCGGGGGTGCTGTCTGTTTGTCTAGCAGATCAGTCGATACGCAAAACAGTTTTCCTTGTATGATACGGTATTGGAGATGAAAAGTCACCATTTTAAAGATCTCAGGGCATGGGGATGACTGTAGCAGTGTGCTAAGAGTTCATTTCGGGATCGCTGCTACGGCCGAACTCGTCAGTCGATTGGCATGAAGCGCAACACTTATTGAGCGCGTTGAGATATATTTTTTTTCTGGCCTTCAGCGCGCTATACGATGCATTTCTTAGTCAAAGCCAGATGCTTATTTGAACGCTGATCTTGGTCAAGCTGCACGGCACGGCAGCACATAAACAATACAGTCAGTCATAGACGGCGCCGAATAATCGAAACCCTGCGCTTGTTTAACGCACTTCTTCCTTTGGGTGCCGTCCTGGCGCACAGTTTGACCAAGATAAACGCAAATGGACTCATCCAGTGCTTCGTGTAAACTTACTCTTGAGTGAAGCTTTCGCATTTTTGTCATGTATATGGGTGCAATAGCCGACGCTCATCTCGTATGGCAGGTAGATTTTGCCCGCGCGTTCCTATATTATTTAGCTAGGCGCGCCTGAGCGACAATTTATTTCTCAATATATTATTCGTACCAAATTCATGCATAAGCTTTTTTTTTTAGCGGGGAATACGCACGTACCTGTGATAGAATGGTTTTTTTCCTTACTAAAAGGCTACCGGTCGCTGTGGCTCTCTTCACAGCCGCGGCCCACCTCATTTTCTTTTTCTTCGTTCCATGGGAATTATACCTGCGTTTGCCTTTCACGCTCGAGTAGGAGCAGCCAACGGCTGAACAACTGACCATGGTTTATCAGAACGAAGATAAACAGGCGGCCGCGCGCGCGAATCCCGAATCTGAGGCTTGCGGCGAAGTGGTTCGCCGTCATCTATTTTTCTCGAACCGGAAGCCGGTAGCACATGGTGCATCCCACAATCCCTCGCTCTTTTACTGGTCACCTATTTCGCCAGCCATGCCAGTGTTCTTGTGGGGGAGTGCGTATCCCTCGGTAGAGGGCAATCTGTTTTCAACTTTTGTCAAGACTAACACGGTGCGTAAGCTGACGCGCCTGTGACGGGCAGAACTATATTTTGGGCGCTTTTTTCTCAGAATAAAACCGGTTGTCAGGGAGTGCTCATTAAATTTTCTTCTGCCCCTTTCTCCACGTTCACATCTATTTAGACGGCATTCAAGGCTGAGCTTGTGGGGTATTTAGATGTTTCATGTTAGCTGAGACTGCCTGAATGTATACATAACTTTCGTGTTTTGAAATACGACAGCCTAATTTACAACGATGGGATAGAGTAAGAGTGGTTCAGTGTGTTCGGCAGGGCGTGGGGGGATAGCTGCACGACAAAACAAATTTTTGCGGTTGTGGCGGTTTTCTTCTTGGGTGAGGAGCCATGTTGCAGCATTGCTGCTTTAGTATCGGTGCCTATAGGCTTGCGCAGGGTTCGCTGGGGGTGGGGGCGAATATATGTAGCAGCGCACCCCTCCCTACACGTCAATTTAAGGGCCTGGTTTTACCCCCCCCCCCCCCTCCCTGCCGCACGAGTCACAGCACCCCACCCATCTCTCCCCGCTGTGTGCGCACGCTTATGTAAGGTGTAGCGGGGTAGTGTAATGACTAATGGGGAATTATGAAACCACAATCGCTACGAGAACTATTCTTTATTCCAAGCTCCGGCATAGGCACAAGCCCTGCCGAGTTCAAATAAGAGTGGGTGCCGCTTCACTTGAGCGAATCCTCGTAGCACTTCTGCAAAGGAAGACAGAGTCAAGTCGTTAATATCGGTGCATTGAAAAAAGAATTGCAGTGAGGAGGGTTGCAGCCGCGTGCAGAAGAACATATACGACACAGTGTTTTGCTGTGTGAGTAGTTGGCTGAAACTGTCTTCGCTATGACCGAGCTCAGGGAAGCACACTTGTGGGCATCAAAACGTTCGTCAATTTTTCATTCATACCGCTGATTCATTTGTTCGCCAGTGACGCTGCAATATCAATTGAGATTTTTTTTCTTGTGCACAGTTGCGGTGAGCAGAATACATGAATGAGGACTAAGAAGAAAAAAGCGAGTGAGTGGGGCTCGAACTTCCGATATACCTTCTGCACATCCGCTATACTTTCTCTGGCATTATTGTCTGTTCTCGTTAATACTGTGTCAAAAAAGAAGCCGAGCCCTCAATTTTTCACCTCTGCACTTTATTTATAGCGAGGGTCTCGTTCTGGCAGACTTGATGCCTTGAGGGGCCCCGCCGTGGTGGTCTAGTGGCTAAGGTACTCGGCTGCTGACCCGCAGGTCACGGGATCGAATCCCGGCTGCGGCGGCTGCATTTCCGATGGAGGCGGAAATGTTGTAGGCCCGTGTGCTCAGATTTGGGTGCACGTTAAAGAACCCCAGATGGTCGAAATTTCCGGAGCCCTCCACTACGGCGTCTCTCACAATCATATGGTGGTTCTGGGACGTTAAACCCCACATATCAATCAATTGATGCCTTGAGGGGGCATGCGAGGGATTATTGGTCAGTTGCCATGTCGTGATAAGATCACGTATTACGTCACGCTAAACAGGCGAAGGAGAGTGTTCCACACTCGCTGTAATAGCAGCAGATGGCTCTGACGGCCTCGTCCACGTTTAAATGCACATAGACGATTTTCTGCAGAAGTGCACGGGCGCTGCTATGTTTGATCACGTGACTGCAAATAGTTTTCTCTCTGCCAGTTTCCCCAGCCAACGCAGTGGGCCAGCGGAGCGGCCATGGCCGTAGCTGAGGTGAGAAGCCAACATGGCAGCACCCATGCAGACGCGACCGCCCGCTCGATCCCAACTCACGCTTGCTACTCGTCCACTGTCATCGAATAAATGGTGAATGCAGCTACCACTTAGAGTCGCCTCACGCTAGGCACGAAACGTCAGGTATGTTCTGTCTTTACTAAAACAATTAGATGTGTATATTTAACCATCCTTGCTGAGCCCCGTCTCGGAGCATTTGAGTATTAGTTTTGAAAACACTGCGAATGGTGTGCGTTGTAAACTTACGGGACACAGAGCGCAGGGCGACGATATCATATGATCGAGATGGAAGGAAACTGCACCTGTAAGTGCCGCCATGTTCACTTTTAAGGTGCGCACGTCTGCTTCGCTTTAACGTACGGGCGCGTCCGTATTTTTCGCTCGGTGTCCCAATAGCGTCTGCTTCGCGTGAAAACTATGGGGATGTCGAGCATACGATGCGACTCCGATGTGAAGGAGTGCTGCAGAAAACCACGGCAGAAGCAAGACCATAGTAGGTAGATGAATGAATGCATGGATGAATTGATATGGCCCCTTATACTTCCTGATTTGGTGTATTTCCGTGAGCTCCTAAAGCAAGCCTACCTATTCCACGTTGCTTAGTTTCTAAGCTTGCTTGAACTCCTGATCTCGCGCACAAGACCACATTGCCGGACGTCATACCAGGAATTATGACCCCTTTCCAGCTTTCTCTCACGACACCATACCTATTGTATTTCCACAGTACCCTGTTTTTTATTACCGGTGCATTACTGTTACCTTTAGTCGTCACGTATATATCGTGTTCTCTTAGGCACTCGGTCCCATTCCTTGTCCATACGCCCAGATATTTGTATTTATCCGTTATCTCTAGCGTAATTTTTTGTATCCTAAGCTCACCACCTTCATTATCATTATATATCATGACTGCTGATTTTACTTTACTGAATATGAAATCTAGCCTATCTCCCTCATTACTGCAGATGTCCATCAATCTTTGCACATCTTCCTTGTTGTCGACCATTCGCACTATATCATCTGCGTACATCAATGCTGGTAGTGCTTGTTCAATGAGTTTTCTTTGTTTGATGAAAGAGAGGTTGAAATTAAGTCAACTCCTTTCTATTTCGCCTCTACTCCTTATAGCTACACCATGAATAACAAGGCTGACAGGGGACACCCCTGCCTAAGCCTCTGTATTATCTCTGTGGGCTTGGATACCTGTTTTTCCTTCTTTATATAACTACCTTGTTACTTTTTACAAATGTTGTCCTTTAATTGATTATTGACTCTATCTTCCCCACCTTGTGCGTCCAGTATTCCCCACAAGTCCTCTTGAACCAAGCTATTGTTCGCTCCCTTGATATCCAAAAATGCTAGCCACAGGGGCCTGAATTACTTTTCTGCTTTTTTGAAGCGCTGCGTCAGTGAGAACAGATTGTCTTCCAAGCTCCTGTGTTTCCGAAACCCATTCTGCACTGTTACCAGCACCTTATCATCCTCTATCTATGCCTGCAGTCTTTCCTTTACACTCTGCATCACCAGCCCGTAGACCAGTGATGTCACTGTTATAGGGCGGTAGTTGTTTATGTCAGCTTTGGCCCCCTTTCCTTTATAGATCATGCTTATCCTGCTAAGTTTCCACCCATCGGGGACTTCACCATCGATTATATTGATTTGCTCGCTGCCTCTCTTAAAGCCTGCTCAGACTTAGGAACCAAATGCCTTTATCAGCATAATTCGGATGCCATCAGGGCCTGCTGATGTGCTGCTTGGAACCCTCTTCTGAGCCCTTCCCACTCTCGTGTTGAAAATCAAACCACTGCGCCACTTCTTCTATTTTTTGTCTATTAAGGTGCATTAGACACTTTGTTGAAACTTTTCTGTCACCCTTGTTCTTATACATTCAATAGCTTTGTCCCCCTCTAGCATAACACCTTGAGCGTTAGTTATAAACCTCTTCTCTAGACTTGTCTGATTTATTAGGGAGTTTAGATCGTTCCGATATTTTGTAGCTGCCTTTATATTCTTTTTATGTACTTCTGCCAGCCACTGAGCCCCCTTTCTTCTAATCTTTTCATTGATCAGATGGGATGCTCCTCTCTACAACTTAAAAAGATATCCCATTTTCTTTCAACATCATCTGTCGGTTCACCCCGCTGCTTAGCATGTTTGTGTTCCTCAAAGGCTTCCGGACGTTTTGCTATGGCTCTCTTAACTTGCTCATCCCTCCAACTTTTGGGTTTGTTTCTGATTTTCCGGGGTGACTTGTCACGTGTCTCAGCAAGCTCTAGCTCAAACAGTCGAATTAGAGTCGTGTACGTCCACACTGTTTTATTATCCTTAGTGAATTACTTTCTCAATTTGTTTAGTAGCTATTTCTATTTCTATATACATTTCTGAATATGAATTCCCCTGTGTTTGCTCAGCTTGTCTCCTTGCCACTTTCATTGCTCTTCCAAAACTTAGCTTTATGCGTTTGTGATCACTGCACGGACTTATGGAGCCACATTCATCCATATGCATTAGCCTAAGCCTATCATACATCTTATGTGACAACAGTGCATAATCTAGCGTCGACGGCAGCCTTCCTACCTCCCATGGTATTTGCCTTTCATACTTCTCAGTACTGTAGCAAATGATCAAATCTTGCTTTTCACACATATCCATGATCATTTTGCCTGTTGGGTCAGTATACCCATCTATATCTTCTATGTGCGCATTCATATCTCCTAGTATAATTATCTCGCACTCTCCCCCTAATTCCTGAATGTCATTGGTTATACACTCATTATAACTCTTACATTACCTGGTTTTCCTCTCTAGCCTTTGCTCCCGTACACAAGAACACCAAACCAAGGAATGTCATCTGTCCAGCTACTTTCCCTCTTAACCATAAATGTTCCGTGCATCCCTGCTTGACTCTTAGCCCACCCATACTTTTATGTATAAATGCCCCAATTCCACCCCCTTTTTGCTGCTCTCTGTTCTATTGCAATATTCCCATACGTAGTCCGGATTGCAAGGTGGTCACTCCATGTCCCGAAGATGTGTCTCTACAACCGCTTATATCAACAGCTCTTCTTGCCCTTACTGCTTTGCTATCTCTTCCCACTTCAACCGCTCTCGCGTCTGCCACCCTGCATATTAATATAGCCTATGTCTGATTTAGCTCGGCCATTGTGTTTACGTCGATTTTTTCTCCCAGGAATCCCATGTGGCTTGAATATTGGAGCCCCTTTAAAATCGTCTTTGGCTACACTGTTGGACTGTGGGCTCTGGCCTGAGGGCCCCTAAAAGAGCTGTGGCTTAACGGCCCATCCTAATACCAACCCTCCTGCCCGTCGCACCACTGTAATGAATGCCATGCTGTGCAAAAGGGTGAACGCCGGGCTGGTACACGTCTTGGTTCACCTCCATTACGCTGTATCCTAGCTGCCGGCTCAGACCCCTGATGACACAGTTGGCCTCCACTACCCTCGTTTCAATTCTACGAGACTGCTCTCATGCCTCTGGGACTGTGGATATGCATGCATGGACTGTGGACATGCACACTCCCAGAGGCGTCTCGAAGTTTACGCATCCCACCCTCTAACGGTCTCTGAAGGTCCTGACGGTGGTGTTGCGGTGCCACCTAGTTTTGAACAAACAAACCATGAGCGTAAAACCGCCTATACCCGATATTGTGGATGGGAGGATGACCGCCACCGCCAGGTCGAGTACGCAGACGTGTGGTGTGTGCAGACAAGATACGGGGACCAGGTCACAGAAGGGAGGGCGAGGGGACAGCAGGCTGGCGTAAAGGTAGATGTAGGCGCTGGGACAGAACGGTGACGTATAGAAGCGGAAAGAAATGCCCCCGTGCCTGCCTTATGGTGCTACCCAACAATTGGGGCAACTTCCAGGGCAAAGCTTAAACGACACTCGCACTAGAGGTTTTTTTGGCTAAGAGGGCCTCCTACCGATTTCAATTGCCTGTGCGCACA